GCTGGGTCGGCGGCGTCATCAAGTAGTCCGCACCGCGACTCCGCGGCCACGACGGCGAGGGCCTCCGCCTCGATGCCGTGACGGCGTGGCGGCGTGGCAGTGTGACGGTTCGTTGTGCAACCCGCCGTGCCGCGGTGCCGGGGCCTTGCTTTAGGGACCTTGCTCTTGGCCTCTTGGCGCGCGGATTTCGGCGGCGCCGTTGCCCCCACCCCTCTCCGTTCCCTCCACGCCGCGCGCCCCGCCCCGTCATGTACGTCGATGGTAGTACAGTACACGGCATGAATTTGAGTCGGCAGGACGTCGGCCTCTCTGTCGTGCCGCCCTGCGCTGCACCAGGCCCTGGAATAGGTGCGTGCTTAGAGAAAGTCGCTTAGGGCTTGGCATGGGCTTGGGCGCTTTTGGCGCATGCTGCGTGGGTCGGGCGGGGCGGGGCGGGGCGGGGCGGGGCCCACGTGCTCGGGGAAGGCGGCAGCAGCAGCAGGGTGTTCGTCGCGTCGTCCTGGCTCGGCTCGCGGCCGCGTTCGGTCTTCGACACGACCCAGCTTCAGAATGGTTCCGAGAGTCGCTCCGTCTCTCTCGCACCCATCCGGCAGGCCCCATGAGTGCGAGAGAGACAGAGCGACGGGCTCGGCTCTCGGAATGAGCTCGGCCGGCTGGGCGCACAGGCTGACCGTCTCGCCGCGCGTTGCGCGCATCGCACCTGCCCACGCCAGGCGTGCGTAGGCGCCTCGGCACTGCCCCGCACTGCCCCGCACTGCCCCGGCAGGCTCGGCAGGCCGGGAGGAGGACGAGGAGGAGGAGGCGGCCTGCAAGTGTGTTGTGCCCGGCGTGGCGGCGTGCCCGCAGCCCGCATCGGTGCGCGTATAGTTTGGGCCTCGTGTGTCATCGGTACGCACCGTCGCGACCAGTCCTACGCCTCGCCGTGTGGTGGGGGCAGCAGCAGGATCGCTCTGTCTCGCTCGCACCCGTGGGGCGTCCCGCGCAGCGCGACGAGGCCCTGCACAGTGGGCCAGAAGCCGGTGGAGGCGGCCAAAACTCTAGACGCGTTTTGAGCTCCAGAGTCGCTATGCAGGACTCGAACCGAACGTGTGACCCCACCAATGGATTGCTCTCCGAACGAGGAATCCATTGGTTGGGTCACACGTCCGGTTCGAGTCCCATTTAGCGACTCTGGAGCTCAAAACGCGTCTAGAGTTTTGGCCGCCTCCACCGGCTTCTGGCCCACTGTGCCCTGTTCGGAATCATCCTGACAGTGTGCAGCGGCCTGGCCGAGCCCGGCGCGGCCTGCAGTTGGAATCCGAACAGCGCTTCGTCGCCGCGCGGGACGCCGCCGCCGGGCCGGGCGTCGGACGCCCCACGGGTGCGAGCGAGACGGAGCTCCGCTAGCGACCAGGGCACTGTTGGCCGCACACGTGGGCCGGTGGGTGGGACGGTGGGACGACTTCCCCGCCGTGCCGCTTGCCGCTTGCCGCTCTCCGTTCGCATGCACGGCGCGCGGCGCGCGGCGCCTTGGCCGGCTCGCGGCTCGCCACGGCCAGGCCGCGGCCCGGTACGACGGTACGACCGGCCGGCAGGGCATCTCGGCCGCCTTGCCGCGTTGCGCCGTTGCTCCGCGGTGGTCCCGTGCCGTGCCGCGCCCTGCCTCTACACTGTACTGCCTCCTGATGGCTGAATAATGAACAATTGGTGGGCAAGGCGGCGAAGCAGGCGGATGCGGTGCAGTCCCATTATTGTCATTATTAGTCTTATTTTTGTCTTTGTTGGGTTTTTTTTTTGGTCGTGGACGGCCCTTCCCCCTTTTTTTAGAAGGGTACACAACCCAGTTTTGCGTGTGTTTTTGTTTTTATTGTGTTCCGCAAGGCGGAGCACCGCAGCCGACACGCCGTCTGCGTCTCTGTCTTTCCCCCTCTCTCTTTCTCCCTTGCCGGGGGCGGGCTTCTTTTTTTCGCTCGCCGACGTCGTGGATTTTTTTTTGCTGTGTCCGCGACGTGCATGCGAGGATGACGTCAAGGGAGTCTGAGGACGTTTTGGGACACGTTATCGTGGCGGGGCGGGGCGGGGCGGGGCACAGTGGGCCAGGAGCCGGTGGAGGCGGCCAAAACTCTAAACGCGTTTTGAGCTCCAGAGTCGCTAAATGGGACTCGAACCGAACGTGTGACCCCACCAATGGATTGCTCTCCGAACGAGGAATCCATTGGTGGGGTCACACGTCCGGTTCGAGTCATGTTCAGCGACTCTGGAGCTCAAAACGCGTCTAGAGTTTTGGCCGCCTCCACCGGCTTCTGGCCCACTGTGCGGGGCGTGCCATGGCGGGGCGGCCCTCTGCCTGGCGCACACCTGTCGCAGGGCGCGCGCAGGGCCGGCGCAGACAGGTGGGGCCTCTCGCTCGGCACGAGCTGTCCCGAACTTCTCCAGGCATTTTTTTTTGTTGTTGCTGATGGAAGAAAGGGCGGTAGGGCGGACCCTTTGTCATCGCGACGAACCCCCCGGCGTACTCGGCGTACTAGTTGACCGGGGCCGGTGGGCCGGTAGTATTCCCACTTCGGGTCGTGTGTGCGCTGCGCGTCGGAGCGCGGCACGGCCGGGGCTGCGTCCTTGCAGCTTCCGGCCGGTGGGCCCATTGATGCCGCCGTGGGCCTGGCCACGCCGGCACGGCCAAATGCGCGTGGTCCTCGTACCGCGGCACATACTGCCGTCCTGCGTGCGAACGGACGTGGCTCATTCACTGCGGCGGCCCGCCAGCCCCGCCAGCCCCAGCACCCGGTGCCGTACTCCACTGAGGTCTCTAAGCCGAGCCGAGCGTGTGGCAGGTGCCCCGGTCGGTCATTGAATCGGCCCCTCCCTTCCCCGCCGGCGCAGTCAGCCAGCCAGCCAGCCAGCCAGCCAGCCAGCGCTACGCCGCGTGCCCTGGCCGCCGGGGCCGAGCGAGCGGCAGGTGAGTCGGGCACGAGCCGAGCGGGCCGAGGCTGGCGGTGCAGAGCGGAGTGGAGGCCTTCCCTCGGCCGGGGCGGGGCGTGGTGTGTGAGGCGTTCCACAGGCGTTGCTGGCGCGCCGGCCGGTAGGGTTCGGGTTCGGGTAGGGCTTGGCGTTTTTCCTGCCCGCTCTGAGAAGCTCCAGAAAAAAAAAACCATTTGGGTCGGCGACATCCTAGGAGCGGGCGCTTGTGGTGTTTTATCGGTTTCCCTTTTATGTATACGAACTGCCGAAAAGACACTTGGACGAAATCCGACACCCCCCGTGGCTTTGGTACGGGTCTAAAACCCCAAAAAAAGCTGTTTTCGAGGGTTGGGACTAGATGGGTTCTCGCAAAACCCAGATCCAAAAAGTACCCAAATGGGGCCAAAACTAAAAAAATGCGCTCTTTCGAATGCCGTTCGAACGAGGCCCACGACGTCGGGTTTGGATGCTACGGGCTCTCAAAATGCTCAATTTCACTATTTTTACTGAAATTTGAGCATATCAGGGCCCTTTGAAGTAGACCACGGCGATTTCGCTCCTCTTTGTCTTAAATGGGGCCCACCCATGGTAAACCCCCCACAAAATTTCAGCCATGTCGGCAATTATTAGAGGGAAATGTGAACAATTTAAGTTTTGGGGCATTTTACCATGGGCTAGGTGTTTTGGGTCCAGAAAAAATAATTTTTTCTTTACTTTTGATCAGCACCTCTTGAAACGCCTTTTTAAAATGGTGCCTCAAAACTTTTTTTTGAGGAAAATTGCCTTTTTTTCTAATTGAACATAATTAGAAAAAGGGAAGTTTGTCCCCGAAAAAAAGTTTTTAGGCACCATGTTAAAAAGGCGTTTCAAGAGGGGCTGATCAAAAATAATAGCTAAAAAATTATTTTTTCTGGGCCCAAAAAAACCTAGCCCAGTGGTAAAAAGACCCAAAAATTAAATTGTTCCGTTCCCTATAATTGCCTGACATGGCTGAAATTTTGTGGGGGTGTTTTCCCATGGGGAGGCCCATTAAGACAAAGAGGAGCGAAATCGCCGATGGTCTACTTTAAACGGCCCCGATATGCTCAAATCTTCATAAAAATAGTGAAATTGACAACTTTGAAGCCCGTAGCATCCAAAACCCCCGTCGTAGAGCCTCGTTCGACACGGCATTCAAAGAGCGCTTTTTTTTGAGTATCTGGACCCTTTTGGTACTTTTTGGATCTCGGTTTGCGAGAACCCATCTAGTCCCAAACCCTCAAAACAGCTTTTTTGGGGTTTTTGACCCGTACCAAAGCCACGGGGGGTGTCGGTTTTCGTCCAAGGGGTCTTTTCGGCAGTTCGTATACATGAAGGACCGATAAACACCACAAGCGCCCGCTCCTAGGGTGTCGCCGACCAAGTGGTTTTTTTTTCGGAGCTTTTCCCCGCCCGCCGCCGTGACGCCGCGCCGGGCCCCCGGTCGGTGCACGGCGGGGCGGGGCGGGCGGGGCGGGGGGGGGCGGGGGGGGGGGGCGGCGGGGGGGGCCCGAACGGCTACCGACGTACGGGTGTGTAGCCGGCGCCCTCATGACGCGCTGCACACTGACCTACCTCCAAGTGTGGCGGGGTGGCCACCGCGGCCCGGCGGTGATGAGGTGTTCGATGCGGGTCGGTCTGGGGCCGTGCCGCCGTGCCGCCGTGGCCGAAGAGGTGCGGCCGGTGCGGCCTCGTGTCCCTCGTGTCCCCGTCGCCGAGCTCGCGTGTCTACAGTGCCGACGCCGTCCCGGCCCGGCCGCCGTCTTTGTCCCCGTGCACCTGTCCCTCTCTCTCCTCTATCTCTCTTCTCCTCTTTTTCTCTCTCCCCTCTCTCTCTCTCTCTCTCTCTCTCTCTCTCTCACTCCCTCTCTCTCTCTCTCTCCCCCTCCCTCTCTCTCGTGACGCTGCGCTCTGCAGCGGCCACACTTTCTGCACGCTGCCGTCTTGTCTGCCTGTTCCCCCCTCCCGTCGCGTTTGCCGGGTTTGTCCGTTTTGCCGCGAATCGGGCCGAACTGACGTTGTTGCTTGTTTCTCTCTGCCCGCAGGATGGTGCGGATCATTGCTGATGAGTTCCTGTCTGAGGAACGCGACCGCAAGCTTTATGCCGACCAATACACATGCTGTCCGCCCCCACTCTTCATCTTGTGCATCACGCTCATTGAGGTAAGTCGAGCTTGGAGCTTGTCGAGCGTGTAGCCGCCGCGCCGCAGTAGCCGCTGCACTGTGGGCCAGAAGACCGGTGGAGGCGGCCAAAACTCTAGACGCGTTTTGAGCTCCAGAGTCGCTAAATGGGACTGGAACCGAACGTGTGACCCCACCAACGGATTGCTCTTCGAACGAGGAATCCATTGGTGGGGTCGCACGGTCTGTTCGAGTCCCATTTAGCGACTCTGGAGCTCAAAACGCGTCTAGAGTTTTGGCCGCCTCCGCCGGCTTCTGGCCCACTGTGCGCTGGCTGGCTGGCTGCAGGGCCCGCCTGGCTGCGGTGCGGGTAGGCGGCCCGCCGCTCGCGCCTGTCCGCCGGGCTGCATCGCTGCGCGGGCAGGCGCTCTGGCTGCTCTGGCACACTGGCTTGACTTGGCGGAGCGGTCCGCGCTGCACCGCACTGTTAATTTGATTCTCGCGGCGAAGGCCTGTGGGCGAAAGGGAGAGTCTCTCCTCTCTTTCGGGAGCTCCGCTCGGCTCGGTTCAGTTAGCCGAGAGGCCCTGCTCTCCTTGGTGCGGTTTGCTTTGGTTTGACGTCGTCGCCTTGCCAGCCGTGCGGTACCTGGTGTAGTACCTGGTGTAGTACCTGGTGTAGTACCTGGTGTAGTACCTGGTGTAGTACCTGGTGTCGTACCTGGTGTCGTACCTGGTGTCGTACCTGGCTGGTGTCGTACCTGGTGTCGCACCTGGTGGCCCTTGGTCGCTCTGTCTCACTCGCGGCCCGGCCCGGGGCCCGGGGCGGCGCACAGTGGACCAAAAGACCGGCGGAGGCGGCCAAAACTCTAGACGCGTTTTGAGCTCCAGAGTCGCTAAATGGGCCTCGAACCGAACGTGTGACGCCCACCAATGGGCTCCACGTTCGGAGAGCAATCCATTGGTGGGGTCACACGTTCGATTCGAGTCCTGTTTAGCGACTCTGGAGCTCAAAACGCGTCTAGGGTTTTGGCCTCCACGCCTCCACCGGTCTTCTGGCCCACTGTGCGGCGAGGGAGACAGAGAGCCCTCCGCGTAATGAGCGCTCGAGAGCTTGTTAGCCACGACCGGCTTAGTAAGTGAGGCAGAGGCACACCTCGCTACGCGCTACGCCTTTCTCCTGCCGCGGCCCGACGCACGCCCAGGCAGCCCGGGCACGCCTTGTGGCGGGGCGGGGCGTGGTGCAAGCTTCCTCCGCCCGCGCGGGCCGACACACACACACACACACACACATTCCGACTGCGTACAGCACGCGGCCAGATGTCAAAGATTGTGCACGCAAAGCGGCTTTGCTCCGCTGTGTGTGTGTGTGTGTGTGCGTGCGCGTTGCAAATGCGTGTCGAGTATTTGGGGCGCGCTGCGCTGCGCTAGTCGGGCCAGCCTCGGCCTGCCCGACGGCCTGCCCGACGTAATGGACGTGGGAAGCACCCGTAGGGCCCGGCGGCCCGGGCGGCGTGCTGCCGGGTATCCGCGGCGGGTACCCGAGTGGAGGGGGAAGCCGTCGAACGGGTACGGCCGCGCGCGCCTTGTGTGTGTGTGTGTGTGAGCGCGAGGCAGCAGGCGATGATTATCTCGAATTATTGCCGAAGATTATCGTAGTTTAATTTTGAGACACTCTTGGGAATGCGCGCCTGGGCGGCACGCGCCTCGTGCGCCTGTCTGTCTGTCACTGCCTATCTGTCTCTGTCTGACCCGTGGCCGCCCGTGGCCACCCTCGCTCCTTCCGGTGTTGGGCTATCGCTTTATGCTAAGTCAGGTCCATCTCCTTCCCCGCCCGCCCCGCTCCTCGGCCCGGCTGCACCATATGGCGAGGGGCGGCAGGCCGAACTGCAATTCGCACCGCCTTGCCGTTCCGTTCCCGTTCGTTGTTGGCTGCGGACACTTTTCCCCCCCTCCGCAAAGATTCCTTTTTTTTTGCCGTGTGCTGGGTCCTGTCTGGGCCGCGCCTGTCCGCCGGCTCTCCTCGCACATGTCCTGTCGCACGCGCGCGGCGGGGCGGGGCGGGGCGGGGCGGGGCGGCCGTGACGACATCGAGGAGGGCGCTTGTCGCTCCCGATTGGATCAGTCCGATTGGCGAGGCCGGCGAGGCCTCCGAGTGACGCTAAGCTCTCGGTGATTGTGGACCGCGCTGTCTCTCTCGCACTCGTGGGGCGTCCGGAAGGGGGGGGGGGGACGAGGCTGGCGTCAGCGGTGGCCCCGGTCAAGGTGCCGGCCGGCCGGCGTGCAGGCGGCGGAGGGGGCGGGGTCGGCAGGAAGGAAGGAAGGAACCGGGACTCGTCGGTGTCACAACTCGGCCACCCTCAACTTGAGGGCGGTGGGGGTGGAGGGAAAAGGTTAGCAAGGGCACTCTTTCTCTTTCTCTCTCTCTCTCTCTCTCTCTCTCTCTCTCTCTCTCTGACACACACACACACACGCACACACCGGAAGCGTTCCACCCCCACAATATTGCAGTTTTGTTGTCGCTGTGCTGCGCGGCTGCGCGTCTCTTAGAGCTACGTGCCCCCGGGTCGGATCGGACTCGATCGTCACCCATTCTATTCTATTCTCGTTGTGCGCGCCGCCGCCTCCCAGGCCCGCCCCGCCCCGCCGCCCATCGGCCCGGAAGTGGAGCGGAGCGGAGCGCGGCCCTCCGCTGCAGACCTCTGCTGCCGGCTGCTGCTTTGGCCCGGTGTAAATTTTTGCCGAGACCTTTTTTTGCGACTCTGTTGTTTTTTTTTTTTCTTCGTTTGTCTTTTGATTCACTTCCGTCTTTGTCTTCCTTTTTCCTCTTCCTCCTTCCGCTTGGCCACTGCGTGTGTTCGAGAGAGAGAGAGAGGGGGAGGGAGAGAGAGAGAGAGAGAGAGAGAGAGAGAGAGAGAGAGAGAGAGAGAGAGAGAGAGAGCGAGAGAGAGCGAGAGCGAGAGAGAGAGAGAGAGAGGATGGCACCCCGTTATTGCGGGCGTGCATTGTGGAGCCCGGCGCGGCCCCTCCACTCCACGCGAAGTGACTGGAGTGACTGCGGCGCACGGAGGCGCACGGGCGGCGCATCCGCGTGTTGTTTTAATTAACGCGGTGCAAGCGCGGCTGCCTGCGGTTTTAAAGCGCCTCAAAACGCCTTCTAATGGCGCGGGTCGGGGTCAGGCAGCCGTGGCGCGGCTCGGAGCAGCGCGCGAGTAATTTGTATTTTGTCGGCTTTTGGTGCGGCGCGCCTTGTGTGTGTGTGTGTGTGTGTGTGTGTGTGCATGTGTGTGAAAAAGTGACACGGGTGACGCGACGGCAAAGCGTTGGCGTGCGCGCACCACGGCGCCACGGCCGATGGAGAGGTGAAGAGGTTGATGAAAAGTGTGGTGGCGTCGCTTAGGGGCCTAACTGGTTAACGAGACGCGGGGCGAGCGGACAGACGGACGGACGGACAGACAGACGGACAGTCGGAAGGACGGGCGGGACAGGCACACACATGCCGTGGGGACAGGGGCGCGCCGACACGGGCCCTTTGGAAAGGGGGAGGGGGACTTCCGGTGACACCGCGCTTGCATCGCATGCATCGCATGGGGGGGGAAGCGCGCACACACACACATTCACATCCAGACTGCGCGTGCACGTAAATCAGAAAGAGATCGGCGCGATATTCTTCTTTTCTTGCCGTATGTGATTTTAATGAGCCCTCGCTCCTCTGCTGCTGCCATGCCGCCGTGCCGATTGGGGGAGGGGGGGAGGGGGGGGGGGTGATTCCCGCCGTGGCCCCTACGGATGCAGCTGGATCGCCCTCCTCCCCCACGTACTCCCCTTACCTGGCTGGCCTGGCTGGCAGACACCCCGCCAGGGCCGCCAGCAGTGTGCCGCCAGGGCCGCCAGCCGGCTGCAGTGCTCTGCAGGGCCAGTGTAGTGGTGTGCCAGCCCCGGACTCCCGGCGGGGCGGGGCGGGACGGGGCGGGTCGCGTCCGGCAGCAGCCGCGCTCGATCCGGCGCCCCATTTTTCCATAATTTCTTTTTTCGATTCGGACTCGGAAGGTAGACGGTGCGCCTATTCCTTTTTCTCGTTCGTATCACATTTTCTGTGCGCGTTCTTTTATTGTTGTTGTTATTTTGGCTGTGCAGCTGTGTAGCATAGGTGGGCCTCGCGGGCTTGACGTCCGCGACGCCGCCGCCACCGCCCCCTCCTTCCGTCGCGCCGTCGTTCCGTCGTGCCGTTTGCACTCGGCGAGCGACGCGGCGACGCCAGGCGACGCCCCGCCTGCGCCTTCCCGCCCGTCTCTCTCTCTCTCTCTCTCTCTCTTTTTCTCTCTCTCTCTCTCTCTCTCTCTTTCTCTCTCTCTTTCTCTCTCTCTCTCTTCTCTTCTCTCTTTCTCTCTCTCTTCTCTCTCTTTCTCTCTCTCTCTCTCTCTTTCTCTCTCTTTCTCTCTCTTTCTCTCTCTCTCTCGCACCGCAGGCGAAGTGGAGCGCGGACGGGCTCCCTAGGCTATGGGCCTCGCGCCTCGCGCGCCAAACGCTAAACGGTTCCCGTGTGTGTGTGTGTGTGTGTGTGTGTGTTTGATTTCGGATCGGCAGCCACCACACAATACCGATCAGGAAGGGTGTGTGTGTGTGTGTGTGCCCGGCGTCCCTTCCGTTGAGCCCGCCCAGAGCAGCAGGCAGCAGGGGTGGTGGGGCAGCTGCCGGTGTGAGTGAGTGAGTCGACCGATCAATAACCGATAAACTATTGCCGCGCGCCGCCGCGCTCTGGTTTGGGTTCGGTCCGCTCGGGCTCCTGGGCCGTGCGTGAGTCACTCAAGTAGTGCACGAGAGCCTCATCGGCCTGGCGGCCTGGCGGTGCCGACCTGGTTATTGATAGCGTTGTCCTCGAGGATTTTGGAATGAAAAGCACAGCGGCGGAGGGGGGCTTCCCTCGCCGCCGCTTACAGTGTAGCGCCTCGTGGCGGCGAGGCAAATTGTCGCCATAAATCGGAAGACGGGAGGGAAGGGAGGCGAAGCGAAGGGCCACGCGACGCGCGCGACGCCCAGGTTTGTTTTAAAGTGAGCGAGGAGTGCTTTTCTTTTGCCGAGCGTGCCGCCCGGGCTTTTTTATGTTGTTGTTTCTTTTTCGGTTTCGTGTGTTATTTTTTATTCCTCCCGGCCGGGGTCTCTCTTCGGCGTGATATCTGGATTTACCGGCGTGCTGGCGTGCGCGCGCGCGGTCCAGGGCCACGGCCTCGGGGAAGGTGAGGGGGCGGGCCGCCGTTTCCTTCCCCAAAAGCCGAACGGGGGCGGGACGCGGCGGGACGTGGCCATACGGCGTTCTGCTTGCCTCTCTGCTTGCCTCTCTGCTCGCCTCTCTGCTTGCCTCTCTGCTGCCTCTCTGCTTGCCTCTCTGCTTGCCTCTCTGCTCGCCTCTCTGCTCGCCTCTCTGCTCGCCTCTCTGCTCGCCTCTCTGCTCGCCTCTCTGCTCGCCTCTCTGCTCGCCTCTCTGCTCGCCTCTCTGCTCGCCTCTCTGCTCGCCTCTCTGCTCGCCTCTCTGCTCGCCTCTCTGCTCGCCTCCTGCTCTGCCTCTCTGCTTGCCTCCTGCTGCCTCTCTGCTCGCCTCTCTGCTCGCCTCTCTGCTTGCCTCTCTGCTCGCCTCTCTGCTCGCCTCGCTGCTTGCCTCTCTGCTCGCCTCTCTGCTCGCCTCTCTGCTTGCCTCTCTGCTTGCCTCTCTGCTCGCCTCTCTGCTTGCCTCTCTGCTTGCCTCTCTGCTTGCCTCTCTGCTCGCCTCTCTGCTCACCTCGCTGCTTGCCTCTCTGCTCGCCTCTCTGCTTGCCTCTCTGCTTGCCGCAGATGCGGTAACACAAATTCCGGCCGATCTGTCATCCCATTCGGGGGGAACCGGTGTCGTTTTTGCCGCGTGCCCGCGAGCGTGCCCTGCCCGTGGCGGGGCTGTTGATGCAGCCCGGGTCGCCCGGCCGCTCTGTCTCGCTCGCACGCCTGCGCCCTGCGGCACGCCAGCGCGACGGGGACGGGGCGGGGAGACGTTGCACGGCGGTGCCGAAGTGGCGCGGTTTGGCCCGTCAGGCGAACCTTGAACCTCCCCTTGACGCGTGCGTGAGTGAGTCGTGGCGGCGTGGGCCTGCTCTGGGGCAGTGCGCGCCGGCGAGGGCGGCTGTGCAAGGCCTGGCACCCGTCGCACAGTGGGCCAGATGACCGGTGGAGCGGCCGAAATTCGAGACGCGTTTTGAGCTCCAGAGTCGCTAAGAGGGACTCGAACCGAACGTGTGACTCCACCAATGGATTCCTCGTTCGGAGAGCAATCCATTGGTGGGGTCACACGTTCGGTTCGAGTCCCATTTAGCGACTCTGGAGCTCAAAACGCGTCTATAATTTTGGCCGCTCCGCCGGTCTTCTGGCCCACTGTGCGTCGCGCTGCCCGCGGCCGCGGCCTGGAGCGGGGCGAGTAACGCGACGCGCCTTGTCACAGTGCCGTGGCCGCCGCGCACGTGTGCCGCCGCGCCGCCGCGTCCCCCCGGGGCGCATAGGCACGGAGCGCGAGGACCCCGACGGCCTGGAGGAAGCGAGGAAGCAGGGAAAGGAAGGAGAGATTTCACGTTCCACGGAAAGGGCTAAATTAGGATGCCTGTGCTCTACTTAACCCGCGGTGACCCCGCGCCTTACCTCGACGGGGTGCTCCAGGCCTGCGCGTCGTCGTCCCCAGGGGCTGGCTGGCGGCTGGCTGGCGGCAGCACGTGGCTGCCGGCGTATTTCCGTATCCGTGAAACAAACTGGGGTGATTTATTCGTTTGGTGCGTTCCAGCGTTTTAAGGTATTCCGGACAAAAACCGTTTCCGTGTTGGGTTTCGAGGCGCTCGCGCGTCGCGGCGCTCGGCCTCGTTGGAGAGATGTGACAGATGGAGTTGTGCTTGTAAACATGTAAGCTTAGAGAGAGGGAGTGGAGCGGCACACCGGGGAGAGAAAAAGTGATTGGGATCATTCGCCGTTGTAAATCAGGAGCTAAAGCAGACTCGACGGATTGTTAATTTTTTGTGTTGTTTTTTGTCGTGTTGCAGCTGGCCTTCTTCACGTACTACTGGGTGGCTATGGGCGAGGTGAGCCCCTCAGGGCCGGTACCGATAGACAGCGTCTTCATCTACCGTCCCGACAAGAGACAAGAGATCTGGAGGTTTATTTTCTACATGGTGCTGCACGCAGGGTGAGTATTAGGCGCTGGACCGGCGGGCCGCGGGGCCGCAGGGCCGCAGCCGACGTCGCGGAGCCCAGGCCACGCACAACGACAACAGAGACACGCCGAGACACGAAATTTTTCCTTTTTTACGACGGGGTTTGGAGTGAAGTAGTAGTTTTGATTGATTAGTTAAAAAGCGTGCTGCTTTTTCTTTCCTTTTTTTATACTACTTGTATATTATTTTTCTTGGAAATATATGTTTCCATTTTTATTTTGTTGTTCTCGTGGACATGCTTTATGTTGGCGTTGTGTGTGGCGATGTGCGGCTTATAATAGTGTAGTTTGAGTTGAGAGAAAGTGAGCGAGAGAGATAGGGAAATCGCGAAGCCTTTTTGAACCTATGGAGCGTCGTTGGCAAAGTTTGCTTTGAGCGATTGAGGTAATGGGGTGGCGCGGGGTGTGTGTGTGTGTGTGTGTGGCAGCCTGCAGCGACCGCTACGCACGCCAGCACGCGGCCCGTGCGGCCCCACGGCCAGGACCCCCTCCCCTTACGGAGGTCAGGACCATGTGTTGATGTGTGTTGTGTCGTTGCAGGATGCCGCCCGCCGCACCCTCGCTGTTGTCCGCACTGGCCGCGCTCCTGGCGCTGTCCGCCGTGCTGTTGGGTGCCGACGCCTGCTCCAGCCGGTCCACGCCCAAGCCGCGACCCCCCGCGCCCACCCCGCGCCCCAACGTGACCTTCCACACGTACGCCTGCCCGCCCGCCTACGCGGCCTGGTACTGCCTCAACGGCGCCACCTGCTTCACCGTCAAGATCGCCGAGTCCCTCATGTACTCGTGCGAGTGCTCGGACGGCTACATGGGCAACCGGTGCGAGTTCAAGGACCTGGACGGGTCGTACCTGCCCGTGCGGCAGCGGGTCGTCCTGGAGCGCGCCAGCATCGCGTCGGGCGCCAGCATCGCCGTCATCCTGGTCGTGGTGGTGTGCATGGCGGCGTACGTGCACTGCCAACGGCGGAGAGGGGTCAAGCCGCCGCCCTCGCCGCTGCCCGCGCTGCCCGCCACGGTGCACTGCCGACACCCGCTGAGCAGACCGCCCCCGCCCAACAGGCCGCCCCCCGGCCCCCCCGGCCCCGGGCGGCCCTGCGCCCCCAGCAGACCCTTGCCGCCCATGCTCGCCGTGGACCGGACGGGGGTGACGCTGACGCCGTCCTTGGCGCCCGGCGAGTGGCCGTGGCGCGCGCCCATCGTGGTGCCCGTAGTGCCGCTGCACAGGCCGTGCAGGCCGGGCCCGCCGCCAAGGCCGCCGCCCCCGCTGGGGCACTGCGCGCCCTGCGCGCCCTGCGCACACGGGCCAGCCCAGCCGGCCTCGTCGCAACAGTGCTAGTGCAAGTGCAGAGCTGGTGCGCGCGGCAAGGACTCGAAGCGAGCCTGCGCGGCCCCAGAGACAGACTGCCGATACGATAAGTGTACAGCCCATAGTGTATAGTGTAATTATGTAAAGGACAGCTGCGCTGAGTGATAGTGTACATAGAGTGTACATAAAATGTATGTATGTAGCGTGCCGGGGGAGCGCGTCCGCCTCAGTCTTTCCTCTCTATCCTCTATTTATTGTATTTATAGCGAGCCGGGCGCGCGCTCCACGGCAACCAAACTTTTGTTTTAAGTTTATTTATTTTGCTATGAAGTTCCTAACGATGTCAATCGACCCCGCGGCCGTCTCCAACAAATGTGATATTGTTTTAAGGCTCGACTGCGCGGGGCTTCCAGTATTGGCAACACGATGGCTATGTAAACATTCGTCGTAGCGAATTTGTTACGGTTTCGTGAAAGATATATAATTATTTGAAAATGAAAATATTGTACTGGAGTCCAGATGCAGCAAAAGTAGAGCACATGATGATTTAACGCTGCCTTTGCCACGAGTGGAATGAAATGAGTGTACTGATTGTGTCTGACTCGTTGTTAAAGCCTGTAATACTCGCACCATGTCGCGAAAAGAAAAGACTCTATAAACATGCTTTGTAATAGTCATTTAAATACCAAATAATGATAGCAGTCTAGTTATAAGCTGTATACCGTGCCGCAGTGTGCTACAAGAAACGATTTGATTACTGGTGCTCATTTTGATATGAATGGAAAGCTAACATTGGGCCGGCTAGTCAGCAGCGTCCGCACACCGTACCAACTTAGTTTCTTTTTTTTTTTTTTTGTAAATTTTCTTGACTTCTTTGCCGTCCAACACATACACCCCAGTGTTTTAATTTCTTTTTTTAATGATTTTGATCAGATGACGCATTTTTATCATGTTTGATTGTGTTGATTAGTTTTAAACCTGTAGACATGTAAATTTATTTTGTACAATTTGTGACAAATTCTTATGTGCGATGGAAGAAATGTATTTCCTTTTTTATTATTTCTATGTTTTATTATTATTAACATTGTGTACCATCCACTTCCTCAACTTTCATCGAATGTGTTATGTATCCCTATTTTTCTTTTTTACTTATATTTTGAGAAGGACTGATGTATTCTGTAGGGGTGTGTGTATTAGACGGCGTCTGTTGTTTGTGCGGTGGTTCAGTGTGCGAATCACTGGGTTGCTCACTTGCCTGTGTTTCTATCATGTTTATGATTGTCTGTCCATAGTTTAAATTGAGAGAGAGGAGGAGAGAGAGTTAGAAAAGAGAGAAATGTCCAACAAATGAGAGATATTTATGTATATCAAATGCAGATAAACAAAAAAATCATTTCTGTCTTTAGAAATAAATATGTTAGTACATTAAATGAACTTACGTTGTTTTCATTTGCCTGCCAAAGTAGTTTTGCGAGTGACGCTCCTTGGTTCCTAGAATTGACGTCATTTATGCAAAGGCTCCGTGAATGCCGTGTGTGTGTGCTTGTGTGTGGCATAGTTGGTGCAATGCATGCAGGTAGCAGTACTACTCCTTTAGCGACGCAGAAGACGGGGGAGGAAAATGGACTGGCGTAGGCCGTGCGGCACACTGTTCAATGCAGCACACGGTGCGCGGCGTACGGAGCGGCCGAGACCACCCGGCCTTCCGCCGTGCCGCCGCCGTGCCCCGCCGGGAGCCCCTCTAGCCCCGCCGGCCCGGTCAACCTGCTTCCCGAAAACGTGCAGCCTCTTGTGACATATTTCATGCTGCCTCCCTAGATGGCGCGGCGGGCCGGGACTGGTTGCCGGCCGACGTGCGACGGCCGCGCCGCGCCGCGCGCCGTGCCCGCCGTGCCCACCGTGCCACCACGGCGACGGCGGCGACGAACAGCGCCCTGGCCGGTCGGCCCAGCCGCCGCTCCGTTTTGGGTTGTTTCGGTGGCGTCTGAATCAGTCTAATGAGATGGCACAAGGCGCCGGTACACGTAAAATGGAGGGGCGTTCAGAAATGTACAAGCGCTAGTGCTTGGTCGCGTGAGGCGTGGCGAGGCGTGGCGAGGCGGCGCTAATGAAAGGGTTGACACTGCCGTGAGACTGACGAGCGGGCGGGGCGGGGCGGGGCTCGGCACTGTCCGCACATAATTGCTGTCTATGTATTTATGTATGCGCGGATCCCAGCGTTCCCCGCGCCGCGCCGCCCCACTCCTCCCCGCCCTGGCCAGCGACATTGGCTTCCCACGGGTCTGGCCAGAGTTGTGTGGCCGTGTGCGGTCTCTGGGCGGGGCGGGGCGGGGTGGGGCGGCGGGCCCCGTGCACAGGCCGGCTCGGCCACCAGGACCCAGTGTGCAGGGCAGCCGGTGTAGCGGGGCGGGGTGGGGCGTTCAGCGCCCACACCCGGCAGTGTGCCCCCGCCCCGCCCCGCCCCACCGCGCCTCTCTGTATACGTACACCGCAAGGCACAGCCAGGCACAGCGTGCTCGGCGGCACGGCACTGCACGGCAGAGGGCGAAGCAGGCGAAGGAAAGCAGGACTTGCATGCGTCTCGCGTCCAAACAGGAGTGCAGGCCAGCCTAGCCAGGCATATCGCCTGTACCACTTTGGTCTGTTTGGGGGTGCGCCTTGCCGTGCCGCACCGCGGCGCGAAGTGCACGCATCGGGGGGAGGAAGACGGAAGAAGCAAGGAGGCTAACAACCTCAGACGCGTGCCGGCCGCCCGGCCCTGCATGGGCCCCGCCTGGGCCCCGCCTGGGCCCCGCGCCCCGCCGGCCGTTGAACCTTGGCACGGTGTAAACAGAGCAACTTATATTAGTTTACGTTTGTCGCGCGGCGCGGGGCCCGGCCGGCCCGCGGGGCCTACTGCATGCTACACTGCGCCGGCGACCTGGCGACCAAGCCAAGCGGCCAGCCGCGCGGGGTGGGAAGGGAACCGGTGGGGTCGCGGGGCGTGCAGAATGGCGGCGCCCGGCCCACAGCACGGCCTCCGGGAGCACGGCGACGACGGGCGGCCCTCCCCGATGACCCCTTTACCCTCCTGAGTTATTTCTTTGTCACATCCATTATGCGCGGGGATTTTTGCCGTGGCGTTGCGCCCCGCCGTCGCCATGCCGTGTGGACCAACGTGTGTGTGTGTACGTGTGTGTGTGTGGCATTGTGTCTGGCTGGTGTGTCTTCTCCTCGGTCGCCGTGGCGTGGCGTGCCGGGGCGTCTCGTTTTTTATATGAATTTGATTCTTTGTGCTGCTGAGAGTTCTGCCCCCGAAGTGGGCATGTGTTTGGTATGCAGGCAGGAGGATTGAACCTTGGTGACACCGGCGAGTACCCCTGGCTGCGTGGCTGTGGCTGGCCGTCGTCGGCGTCGTCGTCGGCCGAGGACAGCCGGTCGGGTACCGGCGCGCTGCTGGCTTGCGCTGGGTTTGGTGTGCTGCCCGGTAGTACCTGGTAGTGCCCGGTGGTACCTGGACCTGGCAGTACCTCCGTGGAGGCCAATCAAGCTGGTGACAAGTTGCAAGTCACCCTCGTCCTCGTCGCGCTGTGCGCCGCTGTGCGCTCGCTGTTGGCAGGCTGCGCGATGGCTGTGCGCGCTGCGCGGTTTGCCCTGCTGGGCGGCGCGGCGCGGCGTCGCGCGCAGGGCG